TTCCTGGCATGGGAAACACGCAACGTGACAATTCCCGCCTTGAACGACTCCAAGTACATTGGGATGTCTGTGTACAATGTTGTCACGCTATCTCTAATAGGTGCCATTGTCACGACAGCCTTGGATAACACAATCCACTACGAAGCGCCATATGCTATATCGTCACTCTGTCTGATAATTTGTACGACCGCTACGTTACTTCTTGTATTTGTGCCAAAGGTAACAATTGTGTTACATGTGACAAAGATTATGTGACTCTAATTAGCATATATAGTCTATGTGACTGTTCAGTAAATTGAATTATAATTGCGTGACTCTTTCAGGTGTACWGTTTTATATTGGGATCCGAAGAACAAACATTTAACACGACGACAATAAACAATGGCGTCTCTTCCATGGGACGAAGTCACGGTAGTCACGCATTCCGATTTGAATCSGAGAGCAGTGCGAAGCCAAAGCATTTCTCCACTAAGGGAGTTCAAACGAACCATCAAGAGCTTACTGCAAGTTCAGGTCAGTGAAAACAYCAAGGAACGCATGCGCGGTCATGATATCCCACAYTGYACTGTCAACGTAACGTTACACAYGTCACGCCAKCATCATATCACGCACTGCAAASCTWCTACAACATGTCACCTTATAGAAATGTCAGATATCAMTATGTCAAAGATCACACACTCGCAGCTCTTTCAGTGTCGGGGTCCCTGTGGAGAAAGCACTGGGATCATGTCATGAAAGGTGCTGTCAATCAATAGCACTGTCAGTCCCTGATCTGTCTGTCTGTCTGWTCATCTTCATYAGTCCAAATGTTTTATGTCCTCTCATTAACGCACGCGCTTCGCTGGGGGTATATCTTAGGAAAGTTACCATAGCAACAGCTGATGAATTAACAAACGTAACTGTAACCATAGCAACAATGATTACTGAAACTAACATTTGATTACTAATGGCTGTAATAGCTAGCCGACTTGCTGGTGTAAGTCATACATTAAATAACGTCATGACTGAATTATAGGATTCGTTCCAGGTATCTTTACAAGCACACACTGAACGGAATATTATATAAAAGTGGCATGAACTATTGTCAATAAATAGGGATTATTTGACGCCTTAAATGAGATTCTTCCTCCATAAAAGCAATCATTCCAAGAATGACGATAATGCTTGATGAAAAAAATCATCAGAAAAAGTAGATGACTATTTTTTCATTTAGAAAAGTAGTGAAAAGGACTTCAGTCATTTTGTCAATGGAAATCACTCCTACTTTCTTGACTTCCCTAGGAAAAATTTCACAGGAAGCCCGGTAGGGGCAATTTCTTTGTTTAGTGGTGTCTTATATTCAAGAACTCAAAGTAATATAGTTTTTTATAGTTAGAGCAAGAAAACTGAAATTATTGGCTTTCATTAGTTGTTAACTATGACGTAATAATCATTCCACCAATCAAGCATGGCATGAGATCTTACACAATAACCTCAAGGCATCCAATCGCAACGAGCCTTGCACGATGGTCTAACCAATCAAATAAGGGTTTAATCTTAACTTATGACGTCATTACTTAATCAGCTAATTGTGCATGACGTAACAAATGACGTCAYTTCTTGGTTAGCTGATTGGGGATGACTTCCAATAATGGGGCACWATAGCCTGCGATACTTCCTAACAGCGGTCYATACTAATTCTTTCCGAATTCTGAATTGTGGCATTTTTTTAACAATGATACGTACTTGAATCACGTGACTATTTGTTAGACACGTGACATCTTTGTATTCTATTGGAATGTCTGATCTTTCAATCGAGGCTGATGTGGAAAAAGTACACTCGTYAGCCTCGTGTACTTTCTCGGTACCAGTCTTTCCGCTAGAATACGAATATAGTGTGTAAATCTAGGTATATGCTACCATACCCTTGGTCGTATTTCCTCAGGGGTGGTATATCGGTTAATAATATTTTGAATTTTTTTTTTTTGGGGGGGGGGAGGTGAGCTTAAATCAATTTACTTACAATTTCTCTCGACTGTCTTAACAAAAATTAAAGAAACGAATTTTGCTGTTGTACTAATAACAAAGCAACTTTGTATTTAGTCTTATTTAGTCCTGAAGTTTTGCATAATTCATGGACCTGATTGACAGCTGTCAATCTAATGGATCAACCAATCAAAATAGACTGTAAGTTTCATAACTCCACTTACAAATTTATGGCTGAGTACGCTCGGCCCTATGTATATTTAAAGCCGTAAGTCCAGATAACAATGTCCGTGATATAATGGTGACCGTAATATAGAGATGTCCGTAATATAGAGGTGTTCGTAATATAGAGGTGTCCGTAATATAGAGGTGTCCACTCTTTGCATGCGACATAACACATAATCTTCAGTATTCGATTTCTAACTATGATATTATGGAAGATAACAAATGACTAACTTACAATTCCTTGCACTTAGTAACAGTTACGGCGTACTTTCCATTCTATGAAAACATACCACGTACAAATGCTTGACGATGATTCGATAGATCTAACAATGACGCAAAAAGACAGGAAATGACGTCATCAGCTTATATTCAATGCGTGTGGATATTATTTCGATCTCAATTTCTACACTCGTTCATATTTTATCAGATGAAACCGTTCGTTTGCGTTCAGTCCTCCATACCCATTTGACGAACCATGTTCATATTTTTTACTCAGTGATATTATTATCCTACACCCCTTTCAGGCCTAACCTCTTAACCTCTGCTCCCCCCTGACACCCCCCCCCCCCCCCACCCATTCTTCCTTCTATCCTGTCATATTCCATACTCGATCACCAATATTGCATTTTTCGTTTTCCCAGTATTCGTTATACCAAAATTATAACAATCCATCTAAATAATATCGATACAACGATTGTCTGTTCTCAATCATTATACTTCAACGTTTCATTCCAAAGTCCAAAAATTCGTTTTGTACATATTGGACATCATTGTTTATACAAACAAAGCTTATCTTCGTCACGCACATAAACTAAATGGCGTCATCGATTCGATCCCAGTCTACTAACGGTATTTTTCTCAGATATCGGCTATGACACGTGGTTATGACATGCACACAACTCACTCTCACTAACAGGAACCCTAATATGGTTTAAGGTAGGATTCTGCACCATTTTTTCCAGAATGGGGCAGTAATGATTTTAATATCTCAGGCTAATTGTTAATTCTATTGACTTATTAATTAGATTTTAATAATTGATGATTAATTGATATTAATTGATTAACATAAGACCTTATTGCGTATTAATTAAAAATTGAAGGAGACGCGATTCTCGTTTTGCAGTCAGATTTAGTTCATCTATGAAAATAGCCTCTCCTTCAAATTTTAATTAATAATTGATTGATTAATATAACTATTAATGATATAATTATTAACAATAATGTTCAAACAAAAGACCGTTTTTAAGATTAAGATGAAAAGTGTAGGTTTTTTTGGACAATGTTGGGAAATATAGCATTGCAGGTAAAATCTTACTAAATGTCAYTTGCGCAAGGATTAGCCAGGTAAAWTGTTGATTATTAGTTTCAYATAAAGTGCTTGCACGCGCGTTGGATGGACAGAATGTTAGAGATAYAACGCGCTAACGCGCGCGCGATATATATTTAATTTGAACTGAGGTTAGGCAACATTTGACAGTCGGTTAGTGCGCAGCTGAAGAAAAGGAATTTGCAATGTGCCATTTGATTTTTAGCAATAACATCTATGACTTTGTAAAAATTGGCCGAATTCAAGGCCTGCAATTACTAGCGCTCCCTCAGGCTTTCGTCATTTTAATATGTATTTTTTTGTCTGTTCAGGAAAGGAAAATGAAAATATGGGTAGTACTAAAAGCAACCTGAACCAAGGCTTTGATGTAAACATGGACGACATAGAAATAAATGATAATGTTAATATTCCCGAAACTCGCTACGACCAAGAAGTGACCGAGAATGGACTGGTGACGTTTATGCTGACTGACATGTGAAAAGGAGGTGGACTGGAACGAGTGTCGATGACATCACTTCCGGACAAGTCACGTGACGATAGAAAGATTGTCATGTGTGTAAATCTAAACTGCATAATCAAGAAACCAACACAACCCTGACTGCCTATCAAGACGTATGCAATCAATATGGCAGCATCCCCTATCACTTAACACAATATATTAGTAAGTGTTTTCCTTGCTGTCTGGTTGTATAATCAATGGTAAATTTGAAAATAGAGCCACCTTCGACTGACTGGGGCGATGATGTCACTTCTAGTCACTGATTCACATCTAGCAGCACATCTTCCAGAAACTACTTTCTCACGTGAAATAGAGTAACTTAAATGTATGTCAGAGAAAGATGTCACCTAGAGCAATTGTCACTTCCATGGTAGCTGGTTTGGTAGGCTAGTGGTGGAGCACACATCACACTACTGATTTGAGCTACACTTACAATGTTAGCAAGAACACCACTAGCATGAAGATCAACAATTCACAAAGGCAACTTCATAGTCTTCTTGCATTGAACACAGCTGTGCTATTGCACTGAAAGAGGGGTATCAAGTATGTTTGGTCTCACAAGGATTGCATTGTTCTCCTCTGTGGCTGTTTCCTGAAAAATACAGGTTTCCGAGGAGACTGCTAATTAAGGCCTAGATAACAAGACTTCCTATTTATCAAAGCTTCCATATTCACTTTCAAAGTTTTATTCAAACATTACCTGATTAAAGCTGGGAGTATTCTGAAGGGGCATCCCAGTGAGATATTGCACTCCATTAAATGACAACCCTTCTCATGTAAATATCAAAGCTGTGCATGGAAAGGGATTTTGCTGTGATGTAAATATGTAATGAACAAGCAAATTCTATAAATAACCATAAATCAAGTTACTACAACAACAAACATCTTTGTTGAAATGAAAACTTGACACTCAAACTTAGACAACTAACATATCCAGGTAAAAAAATGTTACAACATGGCAAAACACCAAAATAAAGATATATAATAAATAYGTCTCCCAGCTGCAAAGAAGACACCAAACTACAGCAACATATAACTTCAGGTATTAACCTTTATCAGAAAAAAGAATGGGTATGCTGAATAATCATAATGGACTTATAACTCAGGCTTCAATGCACAACTTCAAAAACGTTTTGTTATTCAACAATGGTTTCAAAATAATGAGAAATAAATAGAAAATATTGCTAACTATATACTATAGCAAAATAAAGAGCTATTGCAAACTGAAAGTTTAATTTCTTGATTGTTCTGTCAATAGTCTCCTTCACCTGCGCCATCTTGAAAGATAGCCTTGCCTTTACATTGAAGCGAGACAACTGTTGAGGGTGCAATGATAAATACCTGTGAATAATTGTCCGTACATGTATGTGTGAAAGAAGGTTTATCTTAACAGTTGTCTCGCTTCAATGCAAAGGCATGGCTACCTTTCAAGATAGTGAAGGGAACCATAAAGAAGACTATTCTGTATTTATATTATTACTAAGTTTCATGTTTGTTTGTTATGGTAAGTCCAAGAGAGCTAAACCAATCTCTGTGATCCATCTTAAAAGTCCCTTGTTTAGCTTCAGCCTTCAGTTTACATACACTATCTTCTAGTTTGTTTGAAGAATTAACTGCTGCTTCTAAAGTGGTAAAGGTTTCTCCTGTATCCTCACTGCTCTTAGCAACATCAACATCTGAACCAAATATGATTTCTTTTGCTTTAGCATTGACAGTTGTGGGCTGTTGAGACTTTTCAATTGTTGCTACAATGTCACCTTGGTTAACGATTAAAAATAATTAGTTAATGATTGATAATAGTTAATAATTTAAGTAAGCTCAACAAGAATATTAGTGGTGATATTAATGGAGAATGCAGACATATTGTAGAGTGATCGCACTTAAACCGTTCAACTGTACAAAATCCAAGTTGTAGCACTATTATTTGAACTAAAAGTGGACCTGAAGCAAGACGGTATTGAATGCTTCATTTGTATCAATTCAATTTAATTTGCGTACCACATGCACGATTTTCTAAATACAACTAAATAGCACTATTTAGTTTGTTCAGTTGCACTGTTTAAGCGCAATGACCCTAAAAGTATGGAAAGTCTTATTATTCTGGGGCTTAGTAGTTGCAAGAAGGGTTATTAAATGCACTCTCCATTAGATAATAACCATGAGAGAAAGTATTGAACTAGTCGGCCCTGTATGTATATGTACATGTATAGGTGATGCGCACCCACTGTAACCATCAGTAGGAACCAACAATGGCTTAGCACAATAAAAATGGTTACCTTGTTTGGTTGTGAGATCAATGTTTGTAGATTGAGACAAGTGTATGCTAATATTTCCTTCACTTGTMTCAGCAGAGAGGTCTCCTGTCACTGAACTCACAGAAATATCACCTTCTTGAGCTTTGACATCTATTATACCTATAAATATTTTACAGTAGCCACCATAAATGCCTATTACTGTTAATAAGCAATGTGCAGCAATGCCATTTTGTGCAGCAAGGGAACATGGTAGTTGTAGTCCTTGATGTACTTTTTTATGTCCACCCAAACAGTCCTCCTACCAAGTTTTTGCTTTTTCTAACCGAAAATARAAGTATTTGTGCTGTTTTTAAAAAKAAAAYGTAAAATTGGCKTTTAGGGAGATATTTTAKKRTCTATGAAAAGTGCGAGGAGTACAACTACCATCATGCTTTGCTGCACAAAATGGCGTCACTGCACATGGCCTATTAGTGCATCACGTACAATTCAAAAGGACAAATCATCTAATTTGTATCTACTGTACATGTATATACAACTTCACATAAAAAAAAACATCACATATTGAACAATCAACCTACCATGGATATCTCCAAGTTTTACACTTCCACTTTCTGTGTTTAYTTCTCCCCGCTGTAAGTATAGTGGACCAGTAGAAATRTTTCCAGATTCAGARTCAAGACAGAACTTACGACCTTGTAACTTCCCAACCGATATCTCTCCAGTGTTTCCAGCTTCAAGAGTAGCAAATTCTGCTAATAAGGTTGACTTTGAAATGATATTTCCATGGTTTGTTTTGACATGTAAATCAGTGCCTTTGATGCTTGAAACATAACAGTTTCCTTTATCTGTTATGATATCATAAATCCAGCCACCTTCAAGGTTATTGATATGTACATCGGCATCGTCTGCGGCATTTACYTTGAGGTTAAACTGCAGGGGGACCTCAATGGTGATGCTGATATCTTCAGGAGGAAAGGATAATTTACGCTGCGGTTTGCCTTTCACCTTAAAARATRAAGTAAAATCAACTAAACAGAAMTRAAATATTATGATCAGTGATATTTTACAAACAGGAGTCAGGATGGGTGGGGAGCTTGCCCACAAACATCAGTAGGGAGGTGAGGGGAGGGAGGGAGCCTTGTAAAAACCATAAGGGGGGAAATATCGTGTGTAGATACAGAAAGGAGGAAGGGTTTTCTTTGAGGATGATCTTAAAATGAAAAATTGAAACATATGTCAAAAGAGACATGTAATATTAAACACAATATATTGCAAAATATAACTAAGTATTACCACTAAATAATGCTCTCGTCTTTTGATATTCAACTGAGGATTATAAGAAATGTCTTTAGACAATTTATCAAAGAATTCTTCATTGATTACAACATCTGAGTCATCAGGGAGCGCGATGTTCAAAGATACTCGCGCAGGGGCTTTGGTATCCTCGTCGTCTTCAAAGAGCTTCATCATGTCATAATCATATTCTATCGATTCCAAAGGATCTATAGACTTAATATAGGTAGTGAAATGAGTTTCAATTTCGGCAATCCCTGTAGAAATTGTAGAGACRGTCCAACTATCGACGCAATGAGTAGTTTTGCAACGACGAGCCGGAAAACGRAGAAGATTTGTAAAATATAARCCCGATCTTTGCAAGATCGTTCCTCGTAGAACACGCAGCATATTAGAGTAGATGCAATCCTATTTTCGTTACTATTTTTGTGATTTTCTGGGATGTTATTTAGCTTGAACAAGTGCCACACCGTCCACCATTTTGTCTAAACTGACACAGGAAACCCAAGCTAATTGTCAGCAGTATGCATCGCGGGCTTACACCACATTCAAAATGGCGACCAATTTTGATGCTGAACTTCGAAAGGTTGGTTAAAAATCATTGTAATATTCTCCTCTTAACGCTAAGAACGAAAATGGATACATGATTCAATAGAATATAGAGTTKAAAGTCAAATTAAGATTGGTTTTATAACTAACACAATTTCTAGATTGGGAGTTTTCAGTGGTTGATGATTTTTGGGTGTGTTGTCAGTGATTCCTGTAGCAATTATTAATTTGAATATAGTTATACAATTTATACATTTAACATTGTAGGCTTTCCAAGAACTTCAACTCAAAGTGATTGATGCAACACAGAAAGTCAAGATAGCCGAAGCTCARATAGAAGGATTGAAAAGATCAAATCAACATGCAAAATTGACAGACCAGGAAATCAGCACTCTSCCTGAGGATACAAAAACATACGAATCAATAGGACGRATGTAAGTTTATGATGGGATTCACAACCAAAGAATAACAAWTGATGTTCAAAAGTGTTACAATGCAAAATAACAAGCGCACATGTAGATGTATGTATRGGGTGCACCTCCGACATGCTGCAGTTTTTACACAACAGACAAGGAATCATACAGGCCGATTTAGACTGCACTWYTKYYTMCWACMAYC